AAGATTGAATTCATCAAAGTAGTGAAGGCAGCAGGCGCATTATACAATCCAAAAGGCATTACTACAAACTCATAAGAACCATATCTGGTTCTACAAGCAGTTTTCTCAATGTCTTCTTGAGCTATCCTTATCTGGTAATACCCACTTTTAAGATCAATCTTACTAAAACATCTACTATCACCTAACCTATCCAATAAGTCATCAACTCTTGGAAGTGGGTAGTTGTTTTTTATGGTGATCTTATTTAAGGCTCTATAATCAATGCACATCCTCATTTTTCCATCTTTTTTGCTCACAAAAAGAACTGGAGCTTCAAATGGGGATTTATTTGGTTTTATATATCTTTTTTCAAGCAACTCATTAAGTTGTGCTTTGAGTTCACTCAGTTCTCACTGGTTTAACTGATAAGGTGTTTTACTTGGAGGTTGTGATCATGGTACCAAATCTATCTTATGGTCCACCATTCTACTTAGTGGGAGTTGTTTTGGAAGTTCCTTTGTCAAAACATCTCCATACTCATACATAAAATCAGCAATTAAGTTTACACAATGAGAAGTTGTTTTCATTAACTCATTTTTATTAATAAAAGAAACACTTTTTACATTATCCATGGAATCCATATCACAACTTCTCAAGTGGAAGAAAAACTGTTTCTCTTCTAACTCACTTTGAGATACTATGGAAATCCTGGATTGATATAATATGGTGAGGTTTGTAAATGGTAAGTCTATTACTTTTCCATTTTCTCCAACCATGAATACTCTAATTTTGGGCTTCCGTTGAAGTTCAATTCTATAGAAGTCCAAGAAAATATTTCCTATAATTACATCTATTCCATCAAGGTTACAAATTGTGAAGTCTTCTTGAAACCTATGGTTTCCACACTTAAACTTCATATCTTTTACAACTAACTTGGTCACTTCCTTACCTTGTGCAAACAAAATCTTCACCCTCCAGATTTCCTCCTAAATCAACTTGAGTCTTTGGGCACAAGTTAGATTCATGAACAAGTTGATTGCCCATGTGTCAATCAACATGGAGGTTTCACAATTCCCAACTTTAGTATTGAGATAGATGGGTTTCTTATGCAAACTAATGGCAGTTAGTTTTCCTTGAAAACCCCCCTTCCTTAACCAGAACCTTTTTACTAAGACTCATAACTTGAAGACAATCTATTTCAAGAGTCTCATTTGACAAAGAAGCATTAGGAAGTTCACTTACCTTTCTAGGCACTTCTTCATTCTTACATTCATTTGCATAGTGTCTTTTTTGTTGACACTTAAAACAAATTACATTAGAGGAACTTGCTTTTGCCTTCTTAGTACTACTCCCTTGACTTTCTTTAGTCTTAAGTTTCCCAACTTGAGAAGTACTTTCTTCAAATTTCCTGTTGGGAAAAGGCGGTTTTTTACTTCCATGGAAGGGCCTAGTTTCCCCTTGGAAACTAGTCTTTCCTTCTCATATTTTAGTCATAGTGATTTGTTCACTATAATCTGCCCTTTGTTCCTCTAATTCAAGTTGAGAAGCCAAGGCAAAGGCATCATTAATATTGGTAGGTATGGTTTCCCGTTCCCAATATTTCTTTCTTGTAACAACACTCAATCCATTATAAAAGAAAAGTAATAAATACTTTTCATAGTCCAACTAAGTATAAGTTAGTTGGTTTTGGAACTCACCAACATATTTCAGAAGTGAGGATTTTCCTCTTTCTTGCCTTAATTTGAGAAGTTGCAATCCTATAATGAAGTTTTGCCACTTATTTTCAAATCTAGCTATCAGTCCCTCACAAACCCCAACCCAAGTGGTTTCCTTAGCATAATTAGGATTGGTTTTGATTTTCACATCAAACCAATCTAAAGCACTTCTCTCAAGTAATGCAGACAAAGTCCTTATTTTATCCACATCACTTTCAATATCATTGGCCAAATGCCAATGTTCGATTTTCTTAAGAAATCTTCTTATAGTCCTTTTGTGCTCTCTGCCCTTCCACTTTTTTGATTGATCTATCTTGGCTCTGTGAGAACTTAGCTTGCCTTTTTGATCTTCAAGTAAGGCCTTCCTTCTCACATTTTCTCTCATCAAGGAGTCTATTACAAGTTGGTTCATTTCCATCTTCTTCTCAAACTCCTTGTTCTTCTCCTCCATCAATATCATAACCATTTTCTCAACTTCATCAAGGCAGACAACACTTTGTCTCTCTACTCTTGATTCTTCTCTACTCTTAATTCTTCTATTCAGTCCTTAGAGGTCTTGGAAGAAGTAGGTCTTTGTGATCTAGGATTCCTTCCTTCTTTATCACTTTCTTCTTCATCACTGTGAGGTTCTTGAATTTCTTGCAAGCTTTCTTGAAACTTCTCTTGCTCTCTTTCAGCTTCTTCTTCACTTTCCATCACTTGGATGAGAGAAAGTTCCTCTTCAAGCAAAGGTTTCTTTTTCACCAACCTCCTCTTTGGTTTGGCTACTTCTTGACCCACTTGCATTTCGGTCTCAAGGATCTCATCCTTGTCCAATCACTGAAAGGCAGTTTTGGTAGTTTTCTTCTCCATCTTGTACTAATACTTCTCTTGCCTTAGTCTCGAGATTGGTTCCAGAAATTTCCCTCCAACCTACTTCTCAATACCGATCTAAAACTGCTCTAATACCACATGTCACGGGCCTCTTCTACTTGTCACTTGGTTTCACCCTGAAACACCACCAACAGAAAGCGCCATTAATACTAGCCCCATGCATTGGTCCCTACTTTCGGATATTGTCACCACAGTCCAGTCCTTGTAATTCCAGACTCACGACGCCAGCAAACTAAACCCCAGTGGCCGTCGGAGTTCTCATGACTCCTCTAGATCACCCGAGACCTGACAGGGCCTCCGAAGACTTTCCTTCACACCGCATGCTGCCTCCGCATCGTGTGGTCCCTCGGTGTGAGGGAGGTGGCCCGCCCAACCGCTCCGTTGCCACCTCGCCACAGCTTTCCCATGGGCTTGGGGATCGCCAGGGCTCCAAACCTTTTGACTCACAAGTGCAAGGATAAGATCCTTTAGACCCTTACAATCCATTTGGTATCATATCGTGAAATCTGATGGTGCAAATTCTAGTCAAACCCACCCTCTGTATGTCTTGACGACAAGAGAATCTCCTTTACGGGCAACAGAGAGTAAACAAAGGCAGTAGGAAGACGCGGTTACATTTTTTTTGTGCTTTAAAATTCGCATGGCACGAGCTTTAATGGCCTCCTGAGTAGGTCCTGGCCGAGCCTTCTTAATCTGCTCCCGACGCTTAGAAAACTCTACGTCTAGCTTCTTAATTTTCTCGTTGATCGTATCGCTCCGTGTATTAATCTGCTTACCCCAAACCACCACCTCCTTACTTCTCACAATTCCAAATCCTCTTGTCCCGGCGAATACCAGATCCAAGCTCGACGATCCTTCCAAATCCTCAAAGCTCCACTCTAAGAAATTCAAAGTCCAATTCAAGTAACAAGCGCTCTCATCCATTACCGTCCAAATCAGAGCTGCTCTTACCCTTTGACTCGATTCCTCCACAGTCAGCGCAGGCAGCTTCTCTTTCTTCACACCGAAAAGACGCGCTTCATCAATTCCCGCTTCGCTTACAAACACTCCTCTCCGGGATTCTTTTTTAGCACCTCAATGATCAAGCTCGATCAAACCAGTTCCCGATCGGACAAACATGCGCGATTTAGTCACAGCAACAGCAGAGCAGCTCATGGGCAGTACTGAAGCGCGTCTCACGGACCAGAACACTGAGCTTAGGAGCATGCAATGACTTGGATGAATGAATAAACCATCATCCAATACGAATTCATCATCATTGGATGGGAAACAGTAGAATTCCACTCATACCTGCCCTTGTATAGATTGGTTCGCCTCCGCCGTCATTTCGATTAGTCCCGCAAATTCGTGGTGGAATTGGAATTATCATCAGGAGCTGCGTCGCTTAATCCAAACAATATACCCTTGAATTTCACTGTTATTGTCCGAAGTAAAATCCTTCGTGTGCTTCATTGGTTGAACAGTTCACCACCCACCATTATTTCATTCCTTTGAACGATTGATTTTTATTCGCGTCATGATGCGAAACCACTCATCAACATTTATCGATAAAGGTTATAGTCAGCAGACCGTATTTGTACTCCACAAACACAGAGCGCTTTACATATTAGCGCACATACAAATACTAGCATTGTATTTTCGGACCTCGTCTGGCTCTTTTTCCTGCCGAAGAGAAAGCTCCCGGCTATCATAGAAGGTCGATTGTCTCCGTCACGACTGGATCTAAGTTAGTGAAAAGGCACTGATTAGTGAGTAGTTTAAGCAAAAGTCACCTTGAGCCAGCATGAGTCACCGTTTCTTCGCATGAAAAGCAGCGTCATAAACGACTCCTATTTCCGCACATCTGGATGCAGTTGAGCCGTGTTTAGCTTCCGGTTGGATTGAAACATTGGCTTAAAGGGAGACATTTAAAGTGAAAGGTTCGTGTGACGTGCCATGCTCCCTTTTTGTACTCCCATTCTTATCGTCAGCCTTTTCTGTTACGTTTTAGGAACAAGTCGATGGATAGAGATGAATGTGGCATCGACCATGGATGATTCGTGTTCACAGATTGAATGATTGATGGGATTAGTGAGCTTCGTGAGTCTTATGGTCGCCATTGGTGGGAAGTGGGTCTCTTGATTGGGCGCGGCAATAGGTGCGAAGTCCAACCGAGCTGGATCTGCTAATCGCAGCAAAGTTAGAACTCTTCCTGCGCTTGAGACAATCGTATTAGTGTGTCTTCAGCATGATTAAGTGGTAATTGGTGAGTGCCCGAGAATTTAGTGAGTGCTGGTCGTCGTTCTCGTCTTCTTCACTGTCCGACGGAGGGTACCTATAGCAGGGGCGAGAAGGGAAGAAGGAAGCGAAGGATTGCGAGGAAAGGTTGTCAGAAACACATTTTTGAGATCGAGGAGCGAGGGAGAAACGCAGGGGCGCCTTGCCGCGGCCAAGATGAGCGGGCCCGATGTGCTATTTCCGCTGCGGAACAACTTCTACCTCGGGGCATTCCAGGCCGCCATCAACGAGAGCAACGTCCGGGGCTTGGGCGACTCCGATGCCGTGGAGAAGGATAGCTTCGTGTACCGCTCTTATATTGCGCTCGGACAGCATCAGGTGAGCTCGGCGCCGTTGTGACGTAGAGGAGAGTGAAGCGAGCAGCGAGGTTCTTTTATTTTGGTGGAAGGGAGTGGGAGTTGTGGTGGTTTTCCGCAGAGGTCGTGTTTTGCGATAGTTTTGTGCATGCCGTTGCTGCTACGATGAATGTCGGCGTTGAGTTGCCTACGTGAGCCACAGCGAGCGTGTTATATCTATCTATCCATTTTATTCTAGGGAAGTGATGAGTGTCACTTAGTAGCTGAGAAGGATGCTGAGGGATGACGGGACCAACCTTGCTTGAAGGGGTCTTTTTATGTGCCGAGGGGAAGTACAAGACGGTTGGATTTTAAGCGCAGATTTGGTCTCATTGTTCTTGTGACATCGAAGTGATGGTTGAGGTTTGAGGCCAGCGTTCCGAATTTTGGATCGAAGCACATATTCCAGGGTTTCTTTCACCTTTGATATCTCCTTCGTATTCTACGATCTAGATCTAATACATTAGATAGTGTGTCACTCGGCGTAACCTTTTGTATTGTTGTAGGAAACGGTTTCATTTGTCCTGATTGTTCCTCGCGTGTAGTGCGGCCTCTACCCTTTTATGCTCATTTTCACCTTTATGACCAAGACGATCTCAAATCTCCAATTTTCGGGAAACGTATGTTAGTCATCCCTCTGTTTCATAAAGTTCAATCGAATGCATACGGTTATGAGGTGATTTATTTACAGTTAGAATTCCGGTTTTCGTTATCCCGCCAATGTAGTTCACTGCACGCTTAAGTCAGGACTTTCACCTTGATGAGTGAAAAATGTTTTGTTCACTCGCCTTCATTTTCCTCGACACATGGTTTATCCGCGGCTTTTTCGGTCCTATTATATATCTACGCTCTATTTGTTCCTCATAACCTGATGCAGGTTTCACTCTCTGTGAAAATGCAGCTAGTCATCGATGAAATTAGTGATGCTGCTCCAACTGCGCTTCAAGCCGTTAAACTCCTCGCATTGTATCTATCAGGAGGAGCTCAAAAGGTAAGCTAGCTTAACGAATTCTACCTGCTCTTCGAGGACTGTGTTACTATGGGATGATTACGGTTGCAGCGACTGTATCTATAGTGTCGGTCATTTAGGGCAGGGAATTGAATTTGAATTGCTAACAGCATTCTCCCGCGCATAAAATTTTCATCTCCAGGACAAGGCTCTGTCCGGCTTGTCGGAGTGGTTATCCGATTCGGCTGTTTCAAGCAACCCTACGCTGTTGCTCATCGCCGGAATGATCAACACACATGAACAAAACTACAACGAAGCTCTTAAGTACACACACGTTGGTGGCACTCTTGATTTGTAAGTTAATAAGCTAACATTTACTTCTGTTGGGATTAACCTTCAAAAAAAATTAACGTTCCAAGAAAACTTGTATTTGCTCGAGTCACTGGAGACGAAGTGCCTTAGTTTATGATTTGGTAATGAACATAGTGTCTTAATGAGATTTAATTTCTCATTAAGTGAGCGACTTGAGTGAGGTGCCATCTGAAATTGTTTAAATTTGTGGTCATCGCACAATCTTACTCTAGATCTGATCTGTCGTTGCAGGTGTGCACTTAATGTCCAGATCTACTTGAAGATGCACCGCCCAGATTATGCAGAGAAGCAACTGAAAATTATGCAGCAAATTGATGAAGATCACACTCTTACTCAGTTAGCAAATGCTTGGGTCAATCTCTCTTTGGTGAGAAACTTTATTTGAATCGTCCTTGTCCTGTTTGGCTAGTTTCATGTTTTATATATTCCTTTACTTTCTGGCATTCATGTTCTATGACCTGCTCGTATAATCTGAAAGAGGTTTCATGGTCATCACAACCCCTCAAAAGAATTTGCTGCGAATCGCAGCGCGCTTGTGAATTGCAAAAGTTTAAGTTAGTGGACTGTTAGCCTCTTTCTCTTCCATTTTCCTTTTAACGAATATAGTGCATAACTGATTGTGTGACCTTCCTAATTTCCGTAGGGTGGCGCGAAGGTCCAAGAAGCATACTACATCTTCCAAGAGCTGTGTGAAAAATATACACGCACTGTTATGCTGATGAATGGTAGCGCTGTTTGTCAAATGCACATGGGTCAATTTGATGAAGCCGAGTCTCTCCTTCTGGAGGCCCTGAACAAGGTACTTTGTTCAGGCATTTGAGAGATGTTTTCTCTTTTCCTCTGGCCTGTTGTTTTCAACATTGCTTGAATTTTCCCATATCTGTTGATTTTAACTCATCATTTCCACGTCTTCTTTGTGGTTCGCTTTGCTTGGGAATAGGTAGTTAAAGTACCTTAGGCTTTGCAGGGTTCAACAATACTTGTTGTAACATCCTTCGTTGCTTTGTGTTTTGTTTGAAGGATTCGAAGGACGCCAACACCCTCGCTAATCTCATCGTGTGCAGTCTCCACTTGAGCAAGCCAACTGCACGATATTTGAGGTTTGCAAATAGCTCCAGTCCTCTTTGTGCTTAGTGAGCACCGCTTGTCGATGTCTGCTTGTAACAAACATATAATTGGGATGCCTCGTATTGTGCTCCTGAACTAAGACATATTTCTACTTTTGTGATCAGTCAGTTGAAGATAACACATCCGAACCATGTGCTTGTGGAGCGTGCTGCTGCCGGTGAAGCTGCATTCGAAAGAGCTGTTCAAAGTGTTTCATAAGATGTATTTCGTAACCCTCGTGTCTTCCAATAACCCCGCCATGTTCTGTTGGTTGGAATGCTGTGATATGTAGAAAATAATCTGTGAACGTACTCTGCTTATATTCCCTGCTTTTTCAATGATTGGCAAAGTGACAAATTAATTTCGTATTTCAATGGTTTAGTAAAAAAAAATTATCGTTTATCTTGCTCATAGGTTTCCTATTCAAATCAACGCGTATGTTCTGCAGGATGCTCAACTGACGGATCAACGAAACTTGCTTTGCCGTCTTTTTGGCGAGCACCATTCAAGGACACATGAGTTGCACTCTTCAATTTGTGGTCGTCGTGTAGCCAATCAATTTCATCTTAATTGGGAACTTGTTAGTTCACCAGTTTCAGCTTTCGGTGATGCGCTCATGCATCATTGATCAGGGATTAGGTACTCCGTTTTCAGATTAGTCATAGCCAGTTCTACCACACCCCAAGCTCTATGTTCCTAAGTCTTTTTAGGTCACCTACCCGGCGTTCTTACAGCTCTAGTTTCAAATTTCATTTATTTAAGCTACTTCTTAAATATTCTGGAAGCATACATGCGTGTGTTATTCCAGTCGGACTAGGAATAACAGTTTTTTTTTTTTTTTTTTTTTCACAAAACATTTGCCTCTATCAACTCTTTTGGAAGTATCTATGCTAAGTTTTGAGGATACTTGGACACTACTCGGAACGGGGTTTTTCGCATGGTGATGAGGTCTAGTAGGTTCACAGATCGCTGGGTCAGCCATCGCCTCCGTCTTGTCGCGACCTCTAGCCTTAAGTTCGAGCTTGGATTTATACCCAGTCGACACCTGCAATCCCACATGTACGCAGACGTTGCCGTTTTGCAACAGCGTTGGATCTCTCTTTCACGGCCAGATCCTGGGAATTGAGATGACTGTGCCCCTCGTTGAAGAATCGGTAGAGTTAAATCAGAAAAACCAACCTATTCTGAACGATTCATACCATCATTCCATTACGGCCCTGCAAATGAACGAAGAGTACACCGTCAGTGGAATAACTGGTTATATGTGGGAGTGCATGAAGAGATGGTGAGGGACGAGTTGTTTTTATAAGTTTCAGTTCAATTTGTTTTTATGATCAGTGGACAAATGGACATGAGTAGATGAGCAATGGGTGAAGAATACAATGCATGAAGACGCTAGTAATTATGTACCTCGATTTCACTCATATGCAGTTATCATTGTGTACAGTGAGAATGTAGAATGTTGATCTACTGAAGTGGAACTGATACATCAGTTACGAAGAGCAATGTCCTCAATAAACAAGAATCACGAAAGAATTCTTCCATGAATTTTCAACATTTGTGAGCTACTTGTCTCAGTCAGCATACATACTCCAGCCAGCATTCTCTCCATCTTGAATATTTCTCTTTACCACTAGTTTTACTCGCCAATTTAAGTCGAAGAGCATGAAATATGCCTTGCGATTATAGAACTTTGCAGTCAAGGAACTTGTGACAATAGAAACTCGACATGCTAAGCAGCAATAACAGGTCATAACAAAGTTATACTGAATATGTGAAGGGTACAGATATGGTGGAAAGGGTGGCGCCGAATTCCTTGAGTAGATGCATTGCCATGTGAACATCCATCTTGGGAACAATCATAAAGTATCCGTGTGGGAATGTCTTGTCGAAATAAATAACAATTGTTGTGAAGGATTGTTGAGACGTTTATTAATGTGACCTGGTGATAAAAATCACGATGGGTTGCGAGAAGAATAAACGTCAAGTATGAAGTATAAGTAGAGATTGATATGCATTTGTAGGCGCATCAACAAAATGCATCAATCTCTGTACCACTAATCCAAGAGATGTACAAAATGAGTTCAGAAGGACAGTAGAGAAAATATGAATGAATGAAGTTTCGAACAACTTACGCAATAATATTGGTTTCAACGTGAATTCGCTAGCATGTTAACAACGTGGTAACTACACTCATGCTCCGGAGGATATAAATGTTCCATTTTGTCAAAATTGAGGTCGAACTGAATTCGCTTGCAGGCTTCAGAAGGAGCGTTACATCGTGAGCGAAGCGCAGCGCAGCGATCTCACGTTTAACCACCACAGCAGATTCACAGCTCAGGATTTGACCTCCTTGCTTTGCATTTCGCTTTCGCGTTGGATTCCGGTGTCGATTCAAGTGAAATTCCCCACATTGAGACACCGGCGCTGCTGAGATCGACGCTCACACACGCGCGCCGATTCATACCCAGCGCGGGGCAGAGGTCGCCACCGAGAGCGCATCATCACCTGCTTCCGACCATTTCTCGAGTCAATCATTCTAATACCCGATTCATGGATTCGTATGCACTACTGCGATGCAGACGCAGCTGTCGCACTTAACATTCCACCGCAATGCCGAGACGAATCGTGGAAGCTGCACCAGGTCGTCGCCGTGCATCTCGCTCGGGTCCGTCTGTCGAAGCACGTGGCTCCAGCTCGCGCTAAGAAATCTCATCGCTCATGCTTCCAACGAGGGAAGGGAAGGGAGCGTGGCGCATGGTTCTTCACATAGTTTTCAAGGTCTCTTCATAAGTTAAATATTACTTCTTTATTTATTTAGTTATTTATCTGTCTGCAAACTTGACTCTAGGGTATTAAGGTATTAATTATCTTGATGGAAAATAACGTTAACAATTGTCCAAATTCACAAAATCTGTTTACAAAGATTTTGTTTGAGTTTTATGTAAAGTGTTTGTAATAATGTTGTTTTCAATTTTTATTTTGTTTTAGATAGATTGGATAAATCGTAATTGTTGAGGAATAAAGAGGTGTATTGCAAGATACTAATGTGGTTGGGACTTGCGACAACTTCTAATAAAGTATTGTGGTCTAAATATAATTATGTCATTGGTATTTGGTTGAGAGGCAACATTCTTCTAATTGTAGGTAATGTTGTCATTGTTAGGTTATTGAGATTTTAATATGACTGAGTATATGACTAACTTCATGAGGCACATTAAAAATAGACTTTGAAAGAACTCCCCAAATTGTAAGGACTAACTGAATATCCAAAAAACACTTTGTTGTGAAATACTTTGTTACAAAGCAAATTTGATTAGTTAATAAGATGCAATCACAATTGATTGAATGAATGTAATTCAAATTATTTTTCATTTATTATAATTCTAAAAATAGTTTGAAGTTAATTAAAATTTTAAAAATAATATTTTTTTTATATACTTGAATTTTAGCTCAATTTAATATACATTGTGTCTAAATATTTTTATAAGTTGTTGTAGACTTTGAACACTTACCAAGATTGCTTTTGTATTATTAAATGTTAAAAGCTACTTTTACAATCTATCAAATTTATATATTATTTTATTTTTATTTTTAAAAATCATATAATCAAATAAATGTTGAAATATTAATTATTCTATGAGTCAATAAAATGAGTATTTATTTTATTTTATTTTATTAGAAATATAATTACATATTCGAAAGTAAAAATACTTATTTAGTATATTTTTTTATAGGAATATAGATCAAAACCAAAAAAAATTATACATGTTAGTAATTTTAATAATTTTATTTAAATATTTTTTTCAGTTTTGTTTTTCTAATTATATTTTTGAAATTTTTTTAATAAAAGTTTTTAGATGATTGAAGCATATTTATAAAAATGAAAGATTTAAAATTTATTAATTTTTTATAACTCTCTATATATATAATCATAAATATACTCCAACTTGAAAGCATAAATAACTACAAAGATGTAATTTATTATGTTGTTGTAAAAATCAATATTAATAGATTTGTAGTAAAAAATAGAAAAATATCTGTTATTACTTTAGTATAATAAGTTTTTTCAAAGGTCATTTTTTATGCATGCATAATTTAATATAATTCTGAGATTAATATAATTTAAAAATTAAATCACAAGTTTTAAGATAATATATATATATATATATATATATATATATTAATATTTTTTAGAAATATTAATTCTTATTTTTCTCTAATTTAGATGCTTAAGGAAAAGAAATTAGACCACTTATAAAAGAAAATAAAATATAACATGATAATGTCAAAGATATGAATTAAAAATAACCAATACATCTATATATTCTTGTATCACTTAAGAAGAGTAGATATTTAATTAAAGATAGTATAATATTATAACTAGAATGGCTATTGCTAAAGACAAGAAAGCTATTCTTGAAACAAGGCTAAGAATAAGAAAGGCATTGTGAATAGTGAAGAAGACCTCACTCTTGCTTCTGTATATACTATCTAACAATGAGCTATATATCAACCTCTAACATGTGACTAACCTACAAGATATGTTTCCTACATGTGTAATATGTGGCCAACTTATTGGACAAGGTTTCAACCTATCATTCACCTGCAAATATATAAGAAGTCAAATCCACAACTATATAAATTCTAAAAAGCTTCTCTATAAGATATTAACAAATTTAATTACTTCTATCCACTTCCTTTCATCTATGTAAATTTGTATATTTGTAAAAAATAATTATTGTTGTCAACATATGTTTGAATTATTTTTATTGCAACTGATCAATATAATAAATTAGAGAACTTTAATTTTAAAAAGATATTAAGAATATGAGAGATTTGTCATTTAAAAATATCAAATGTACATTTACTTGATGATGTTGTTGTCTTTATAAATAATTTGATAATAGAAGTAATTTTGTTAATCTCAGTCATAGACTGTTGTTTTGAGAAACAAAGCCCCCCGGATGGATGGATTGAGAGCAGCCATGGCGATGCGGAGCGAAGAAACAGAAGCACAGGCAGCTCCCGTCCGGAGCCTGCAAAATTTGCTCAGATCTGAATGCCCCGCACGGCGATCCCCCTGCCGATGCCAAATTTGATCTGCTGCAGCTTTGGTCAACTCGCGTGGAATCGATCGAGAGCTCACCCAATCTGGAAACCGGATAATAGCAAAATCTGGCACAATGGGATTCCGGTTGGAAATGGTCTCCCCGAGTAAAACGAGAGCTTCGGGACCTTCCTGATACAGCTTGACGCCACATTGAGTCATTCACCTCAATCGCGCCATTCTTTTTTCCCGTTGGGCGTGCAAGTTGACGAATGTTGCCGAACATAGTCAAAAATAATAAAAGAAAAAAAAGAGGGAAAAGGAAAAAGAGAATAAAAAAAACATTCTCGCATAGGTTACGCCACAAATGGTTGTAATCCGTCGACGGTACTGATTTCGCCCAACTGGCTGGGATGGGTCGATGGATCCTTGCCAGCTTGAATTGAGATCACATTCATTGTTATACTGCCAATACATTGATTGAGTGACATTACAACGGCAGACGATTTCGATGAAGAATCAAGCGCTCGTGAAGGGGAAAATAGTCACGAAACATTATTACCGAAAAGTTCTGGTGGCGTGAAACATAGGATCGCGGCGGGATCCAGTGGAAAGGGTGGAATTAACTCACACATCCTGCCCCTGTCGTCCCAGGCACGAGGGCACAAGCCCACCACGAAAGCTTCGCAGTGGTACGGCGCAGCGCAATTAGACTGGTCGTGAATCATGCAGCCCTGACCTTAGAGTCTCGGTGACGTAATCCCCTGCCGAATTCGGAAACCGGCTGGCTTTGCCGAACTTTTCTCTCCACCTACGCGCTTCAAATAGTATACAGCGAATGTCAACTTTAAAACGGCATGGGACTTTGTCGTTGGGTTCTGCTGATTCCACTGCTGCTGCATCTCGCACGCATCCAGATCGCGTCCATGGATTCGATCCATGTCGGAGCCTCGCATCGGCGTCATTGATCGATGCGTCTGGATTTGCGTGGTGAGGGCTGGATGTCGATGTTAGAGGGGTCTTACCCACTCTCACTCTCTCACTCTCACTTTCGGTTTTCAAAGCAAAACCCAATTTCTCTGCAATGCATCGTCGATGTGCTCCTCCCAGGATTTCAGGCTTACGGGTCCTCCTCCTTCTCTAGTTGCATACTTGAATATGCTCTACTTTCGTATGTGTATGTAGCAAACATATTGTTGTAGTTGTTTGCGTCCAGTTAGTTGTGTTTTTATGGGGTTTGTTTGTGTGATTGAAATTCGAGCCGCCGAGTCTTCCGTTCGGATAGTGCGAGTGTGCGTGTGTTTTGTTAATTTATTTATTTATATTCTTATTGTAAATTCTGCTTTTCAGCCAGGACACAACTTTTGTATATAACTTCAGTTTTTCGTGAAACTCCCAATGAATGCTTTACATTTGTACTCATTTGAATCGGAGAAGTTAATCTTATGCAACGAAAAATGCAGTATAATAGGTTCATAAAACATAAAAACTAGACTAAATTTTAACACTAAAATTTTACCACTAAAAAAGTGCGTGTCTGTATATGCAGACACGAACTTTAGTGTGCAACATGTGTTCCTTTTTCCATGTAACATAGTAAAAAGTTGGGTATACATTTTGTCTAAAATTATACACGGTAAACAGTGATAACTACACTAATCAAAAGACAACACTATGATTAATGAAAAAAAGACAATTTTGTGACTCGAAAGGCTTACAATACAAACACAGAGCCACACTATTTCTCCATTCTCTAGTCCATAATAAAAATAGGGGAATGTTAAAGTGACCTGGGCTTTTTACTAAATCGACCCACCTATCTAAACCATCGTTACACTCTGTTCCCAACCTCCCCAACCCCGTCCCCCGTTTGCCGTCTCCAGTCGTCGAATTTGAACGATTCTTTACTTGATGGTTTAAATAAGCAGGCCTTCCACAGAATACAAAACTGAACGGTAGTACATAATTAACGTTCTACTGTTCAGTTTATGACCTTCAGTTCAGTGACATGTATTCTGGAGCTACACAACTTGTGTCAATAGAACATCAGTTTTGATTTGAAGAGTAACTCCGCATTATGTAACAATCATCCCCATTCAGCACCAGGATTTGGAAGGAAGCTAGCAGATCGTTGCTTTGAGGTTGAGATCGTTACCGTCGTGCCCAAAAGGCCTGAGTCCCGTTCATTACACAAAGCATGGTGTTGCGGTTTCATCACAAGTATTGAAATGTTTCATGGTCGATTTGCTAGTCACCGAGTGCCCATTTCTTCCCCACCTTGCTCAGGAGGTTGCTCGCTTATAGAGCCTTGTAGGAGCGTTAGAAGGCTGTTGAAAGCCTTGCACAAAAACCTCCGGGGATCGGCGGCCGCGCCTGGCCTTGAACTGTAAATGTCTTCAACTGGGTCACGCTCTTACAACCTAGACCAATACTGCTCCAATATGTTGCAAGTTGCAGGCAATAGACTCCCCAGTTTACGATGAAAACTGCATCTGAGGTTGCTGCTGGGCCATCATATTGTTCATGGTCTGCTGCTGTTGTTGTGCTTGCTGCTGAGCAAGCTGTTGATGGTTCTCCATGATCGAGTAGGCAGTGACAAACTATTACATCTGGTATGTCGTTTACAAGAAATATACTACGCGCAATGGAACAGTCAAGATCCTTCGAGATACTATTAAAGTCTATAGTGGGATTCCAGTTTTTTTAATTTTAAAATAAGAGGAACACCTCAACGGAGATCAGTTAGTGTATTACACTACCTGTCTACAACTATTTACCAGGTATTGTTCACTTCAGAATACTAAATAGAAGTGATTCAGAGCACTGATTCTATGACATGTTTAAATCACTCGGCCACTTTCTGGCGTTTAATTATACTTATAATCTAAGGTTCAGTGTTACTGGAGCAGAACCATGCTAAGCACTGAGACGCGCGCTGGGAACGGGATTGGGGAGCTTGGAAACGGGGGGGAACGGGGACAGGGGACGGGGGCATGTGACGATGGTTCAGATAAGTGGGTAAATTTAGTAAAAAACCTGGGTAACTTTTTAACATTCCCCTAAAAATAAGTAAATAAGAGAGGTCCAAATAAATAACAATGATAATACTAATAAATCCGTCACTTCCAGTTTTTTTCAAACAGTGACTAAAGGAATGGAAAGAAGAGAATAGAAAAGAAAAAGCAGTGCTTGTTGGGTGTCAATATCATGCATTAAGTCATGTTAGATCAGCAGTAACATGCAAAAATAATCTTCCAATAATCACAAACTTTGTTTTTCCAGAGGATGCCTGGCCGAGTCCGGGCAGGAACCAAACCTAGCTCGGGCTGCTCCAAGTCGAGAAGAGAATTAGGGTTGGGAGAGGTTCGGGAAGGGTATGCATCGGAGTAAGTGAAGCACGAAAGGAAGTGAAGGGGCTGTGGAGTTCCACGGCGCGTGTGTCTGCGCGAGCGAGCGATGGCCATTTCCCAGCGGCTCAACTTGGCTCTAGAGGAGCAGGTCGTGATCCGCAATCAGTGAGAGGCGAAGCGCACCCTCCCTCCTAGCACAGATTTGGAATAGGAATCGAGAGACGTGGACTTATCGATTGGATTATCCCAGCGCTTTTTCCAATTGGGTTGTGAGTATGGGCGCGGGAAGCTGGGTACGCGGGGAATCCGCGACAGGGTGTGTTTCTCGGGGCGCCAAGCGACGACGACTCAATTGCAAAACTCTTCTGTTCCGCCCTCGTCGATGATTTGCGGGATACCGAGACCAGGGTAATCGACAGTGCCAGTGCCGCGACGGATGGCGCTGCGTGTGCATGAGGACGAGGTGAGCGACGGGGATTCTGGTAGACATTCAAATATTCTCCGCGGCCCGAGAACCTAACTCCCGTGTGGTTGTGTAACTTGTATCCCATCCAAGAGAACCAATGTTTGAGCGGAGTTTTGAACGTGGAGCTCTCCTTTTCGTCCATCCCGGTGCGAATATTCCTCTCGCAGTCGCAGCTTTAGCATGTCCCCTGCAAGTTGCATCCCGTGAGTTGAGGCCACGAGGGCCGGGTTCCAAGAACTACTACTTTCACTACAGGTTATGTAGCACCATATTTACACTACCGGGGTGGATCGATATCATTTATGGTAGATGCGATGATTCAAGTCTACGAGTCCCCACTTGCCTACATATCCGCTGAGTGCGGACAAAGCAAACGGAGTCAAGAATCTTGGAAATGTTGGATAAATGGAAGGCGTTGAAGGATTTGGGGAGGCGAGTTGAGGATATGTCGAGCCTGAGCCGCAAGGTTTGGTTGCGGGGGGGCGGAGCTGGGAACGGGGTGGGCTTGGCTGATATGTCCCTCACCAGTCAACTCCATTGCTAAAATTGGGCAAAGCCGTCTGTGGGTTGGGTAAGATCCCACCGTCCGGCCATTTTTCGCCGCAAGTGGGCTCATCGCACATGTCAGAGAAGTGTCAGCTCGCAAATTGGGCATCAGGAGGAGCAAGTTTTGGTGTGTGCGGGTAATGACCGAACGTTTTGGGTCCCTCCCCCTCTTCATGTCTTGTGCTCAGGCGCTCTACTGGGTCTTCTGGGTTTGCAATCGACGGTCGTGCGGTTGACGTGACAAGACGACAACGATGCAACTGTGTTCGCGTACGGGCGGTGCAGGGGCTGGGGACACAGGATAGACACTAGGGGTTTCATTTGACACTCTGGTGGTGTGTTTGTTGAGGGATCTTAGGAGGGTTGTCGGGGATGGGTGCAGGGGAGTGGTCGATGCAAATAGCGGGGTTAGTATGAGGAGTTTCTCGGGAGCGGTTGTGTGCGCATCCGATTCTCGCCCCTCGTGGATTGTAGGAGGGACGAGTTTGGAAGGTGTTCCTGGGTTAGGAAAGCACCGGTATGGGACATGTGTTGTAGGCGATCATTCCTGCGCCGGACGCACTTGTCCTTGTATCTCGAATCCCTTCCACGTTGCAAGGGCGATGTGCATTGGTACATAGGAATGCCGGAATTAGTTGCTCATCAATATTTTTTTGTGTATATTTCGACTGTAATTTTTTTGACTGCCACCAGTGGTATTGGAGATCGTATCCATCGCTCAATCTTCCAGTAATGAGCAATCTCTTCTGCTCGGGTCGTGTGAGGTACTTTTGAGTGTGCTACAGCTTGTGAATTGGTACCCTGTACCTCGGCTGTTGCTGCGCCCGAGTTTTTCTGGGAAGGAATGTCTAGATTTTGAGTAGTCGGAGGAGATTACGATATGGGAGCATCTTTCGAGTGAAGTTTCCTAGGTGACACATATCTTTCCTTCGGGAATTGCTTACGACAGGCTGGAATATATGGATTCTTCTCCGTCTGTGCCGAAATGGATGGATCCTTCGTCATCTATGGCGAAGCATGTCCCTGCTCTAGCACCGATTATCTTGGTAGCGATAGGGTACATGGATCCAGGAAATTGGGCTTGCGCAATTGAGGGAGGTTCCAGGTTTGGATTTGAGCTCTTGTGGGTAGTGATCCTCTCCAACTGTATGGCAGCTTTTTTCCAAACGCTCGCCACGCGACTTGGTTTAGTTTCTGGAAAACATCTTGCTGAGGTTTCCAGCTCTCCTCCTTGATTTGTATAATAAGATGCAGTAAAGCTCGGTTTTCTAGATAAGCAGTGACTTTCAAAATGTTTTTTTACTCAATCGCACATTTTCTCGCTGTTTTAGGGCGGATATCGTGATCAAATAGTTTGAGATCTTTGTGGTAATATTTGTTTTTGCAATTATCAGGTGCATTTCTTTTCGGCAGGCAATTCACGCCGGATGTATTTTTCATTTATTCCCTTTATCTTCTTTGCAGATATGCCGAGAAGACTATCCCAGGCCTGTTTGTCTGCTTTTGTGGATGCTTTCGGAAGCATCTATTATCGCCCTCGATTTGACAATGGTACGCGTTGCCCACTTTCAGTATACTGTTTCCTCTTTGATTGCTTAATGGTGTGCTTCACACTTTTAACCTAGTTGGCGCTGAAGTTGGTCCAAATGACCTAGAAATATTCCTAATAGCATACTTTTGTGTCTACGGATATTACTGGATAAACATGTGCTTGTTTATGGGGTTTTCAGAAACACTGCTGTTTTAAAACCGTCTTTTGGTCATAATGTGCTGATTACGATTGGCGCTTGGGCTTTGGCAGGTTATAGGAGCCGCTACAGGCTTGAATCTGTTGTTTGGATTCCCTTTACTCCCCAGCGTGCTTTTGTTGTCTGTCGATGGCATTATTTTGATGGTGGCATTGCCGATGGTGGTGAGACTTTCTTCTGGACTCGGATTAAATTTTTTCACTCAACGAGGATGTTCATCTAAATAACTGGATTAGATCTCTCTCGAGCATTGAGGTAGACACCACGTTAAATTTTAATTTAGCAACGACGTGGCGTGCAGAAAGTATGGATTTTAGAGTAGCTGTGCTGAGTACTTTACTAGAAGTCTGTAAAGATGTTGATCGTGCTAGCTAGTCTTCAATTATAACTTCTTTCGTACACACTTTGTTTTGAAGTCTGAAGAATCCCCTTCACAGCTGTTGCTTCGACTTGACCTAACCAAATCTAACTTGACCTAACCAAATCTAACTTGACCTCATTTGTAAACCAATGATCTTCAGGGTGTGCACCGGGCGGAGATGGTTGCTGGAACTATTGTTGGTGTCGTGCTCGTCTGCTTTGGGTTAGGGGCATTACTAAGCGGACCAACAGCTCCTGCCATTATTAGCGGTCTGTGGCCCAAAGTTCGAGGAGACTCCCTCTACATCGCTGTGGGACTGATTGGAGCGAATGTTATGCCTCACACGTTTTATTTACATTCTGCGCTGCTTCAAGGGCAACACAAACTTTCGAGCAAGGCGAAGGAAATAGTTGTTCAAGAGAACATGCGGGACACAATTGGAGCGTTTGGGGTTGCGATGTTGGCAAATGTAGCCGTGTTGATGGTAGCTGCATCAGTTTTCCACAACGTTGGGTTGGTTATTCTGACTCTCCAAGATGCGCACGCACTAATGGAGCAGGTATTTCATTTTGCTTAATTTGTGATGGCGTGCTGCATTCAATGATAATGCTTGACCTGAATCCAATTAGTGCTTTTGTGTGTAGTACACACATTGAGTGCATCGTCTTATGTCACAGCTCATTACGTTTGAATTGTGAAACTCAATGTTTACTCACTTTAATGGCTCTATGTTTTTGTTGTTCTTGATGTAGATATTGAGTAATTCGGTTGCACCAGCGGTGTTTGGATTAGCCTTACTTTGTGCGGGACAGCTATCATCTTTATCGGGAACCCTCACCGGAAAAGTTACCATGGAGGGATTTTTAGATATGTCCATGCGCCCATGGCTGCATCGCTCCTTGATTAGGGGAGCAGCAGTGATTCCCGCTGCCTTCTGCGCATGGCACTATGGAAGCGAAGGTTTATATCGGCTGCTGTTGTTTGCACAAATCGTAATAGCTGTGGAGCTTCCCTTTTCTGCAGTGCCACTCGTCAAAGCGTCGGCATCAGAGTCTCGAATGGGATCTTACAAAATCCCTTCTCTTGTTGAGAGCATAGCCTGGGTCTCTGTTGCTCTGGTGGTGGTTGCCAACATCTGGATGGTATTTGACGTGTTACTTGACGAAATCGATGAATTTTCTGGCTTCGCTGCACATCTTGAGAGTCTTCTCGGAACGGATTCATTTGGTCATCATGGAGAAGATACTTTGAACACGTCTGTTTTTGCCTTGGTATTGATTGTGATTGGGCTTAGCGTGGGATTCCTAATATGGTTGGTTGTAACACCTCTTCGCGTTGATAGGATAGCTATGGAAAGGAAATGGGTTCAAGAGTATGAACTTTTTGAAAGCCAAACTCTTTCCGATGATCGACTAGGGGTACTGGAGTATTCCTCGGATCCTACTACTTCTGAGGTGTATGACATGATTCCGATGACAGAGGATATCATGCTGGTCAATAATTTAGTAGGCCTGGAATATCCTTCCAGGCAGGAAAGCGCATTATCCAGTATTGACACTGATCCCGCGCTAGAGCTTGGGAGGGGAGAACTTGTCAAATGGACGTCAACAGTCAGCACATCTAGCAGTGACATCGATGATATAGTTTCCAATCAGCCTGAATTGGTGTATCTTTCCGAACCAGCTCAACTGAATGGTTTAGTTCGTACATCAGAACTTAATGAAGCAGCTGAACCTTTCATACCCTCGGGCAAAAGTCTGAGCTCTGAGCCTGTTTTGACTTCTCCCCATCTCCCTCATGAATCTGATAAGGAAACTCCATTGAAAGTTGTGGATCCGCCAGTGGATGCCACTGTATTCAATCAACTCCGAGTTCCAGCTTATTCTAAAGTGGTGTCACATGACCTAAATGTGATCGCGAAACCTGTTGACGACTCAATGGTGGTTGCAAGTTTGCCGTCTGTGGTTGACGAGAAGAAGCAGGATGTAGTACAAGAGGCTCCGTTTGGCCATGACAGAGGTCACATCCTTACAGAACCTGAGATTGCTGGTACAATAGAAACATTCCTAAAGGATGCGTCTCTTTCCGGCGACGGATTGACGAAGAAAAGTACAGCCCCGCCACCCCAGAGATTGGTTGCAGTTCGCAGGCATGAACCTCTAGCTGCAGATGAAGCGGAATCTATCGCATTGAAGAGAGCGGAAGCTGAAGCGGATGCAGATTTGATTGATAAAGACGATGATGAAGTAGACGACTTCGACCACGAGGACGTTGTGGTGGGACCTTTATCTCACGATAATTTAAGACGCAGCTATAGTAACCTGGCGTACGAAGCCTCTGGCTCAGCCCGAAGTCTGGGGGGTAGGACTGATGCTAGTGAAGGTGGTGGCAGCGGGAGTGGTAGCTTGTCACGCCTTTCGGGACTGGGACGAGCTGCGCGTCGACAGTTTGCTGCTTACCTCGACGAGTTCTGGGGTAAATTGTTCGATCTGCATGGGCAGCCCATAGCCAGCAAAGGTAGCACAAGGCTTAGTGCGCTGGGATCATCCATAGGACCTCTCTCATTACCTTTTGATAATCCCGGCATTACACCAAGATCAGGTGATCCTGGTGCCTACCTGGGAAGGTTGAACTCACCTCCGGATGGTTATTTGGGGGGAGAAAGTAATGGGTATGGCTCAAAACGTGGTCCATCAAAATCGACCAGCAGCCTTCATCAGCAAGTGGAACAACACTTTATGGATGCTTATGCAAGGGCACAGTCTCACGCCACTGCAACTACCTCTTCTGGTTTTCTTGGGTTCATGCATGACTACTCAGGCAGATCAGGAAATTCAGGGTCCCTACAATTACCTGAGCGCCAGTATTCCAGCATGCGCTTGCCAACTTTTTCAGATGAGTTCGATAGGGAACCCGCCACAATTCACGGCTACTACGCTCCTTCGTTTCTTGGTGGTAGAAGCGCTACATCAAGTCCTGCACTCAAGTCAACCCGACCCATGTCGTCGTTGGACATGCATGGTGCGGCATCGGCACGAGCTCTCTCTGGTCAACTTCATGTTCAGCAACCTCTAGGAGTAGGCGTCCAAGGGGAGTTCGAAGGATCTCTATACGGTGGGGGTTTTCAAGGTAGCTTGGAGGACGCTATCCAGTCTCTTCGATCTATGCATGCCTTACCCAGTAGGAATGCTATGAATTGCAAAGTTAACGCTGATAGGGAACTGAATGGTCCCAGATCTTGGGACAGCAGGATGGCTACTGTGGATCCTTTAGTGCATCGAGCCACAGGGGAAATTTACCAACCCAGTTCGGGCCATTCACCGATTGGAAGGATCGGAAGCATGTCTTCTGTGAGGGCTCCACTGTCGTTTGATGAGCTTTCCCCTTCGGTGACGCACAGAGATGGATTCTCGATTCAAACTGCACAGTCCGAGAACTCACTTTGGTCTCGACAGCCCTTCGAGCAATCATTCAGCGGAATGACGGATCCGTCTGCCAACGGTGGATCTTCCAGGTCAAGAGGTGGATCTGGAGGTCTGGGTACAAACCGAAATGGAACCGTTGGCGGTCGGCCTGGGAAGACTAGTGGCGGCGCAGAGAGCTTGTCGAATGCCTCTACCGCCTTCAGTTCTGGACTAGATGCAGATTTGGATATGATGGAGACCTTGAGAGCTTGCATTTGCAAGCTTTTGTGCCTGGAAGGATCAGAGTGGCTGTTTCGTTTTGATAACGGTTCAGATGAAGATCTGGTTGCAGCCGTTGCAGCCGTCGAGAAAATGCATATGGATGCAGATTCTCCTGACAGAGTGTCCCGAAATGAAAGGTGGCAAGCTCATGGCCGTCCTGTTTCGTCTTTCTTGAAAGGCAGCAACGACGCACGGAGAGTTTGCTACTGCGGTGAAGCGTGTGTGTGGGGAAAAGGCCTACTTATTAGCTTTGGCGTTTGGTGTGTCCATCGAGTACTTGAACTGTCCTTGATGGAAAGCAGGCCTGAACTTTGGGGAAAATATACTTACGTGCTGAATCGACTCCAAGTACTGTCTCATCCTTGATGACATGATCTTTTTGGTTTCTGATGTTTTCTAATGTCAAGTTCAAGCATAACTTCATCCTACTTAGTCACAACATATGTAGATTTTTGTTGTTTGTTTCTGATGAAAGTCTAGATTCTTTTACAATCAACGTCTTTTTCTATTCAGCATCCCTGCCGCTTACCTGAGCTTGTGATGTTGATCAGGGTGTACTGGATCCGGCATTTTCCAAACCACGTCTTGTTGCACCGATGTGCAATTGTGTGATAGAGGTTTCGGAGATCCTCAGCAGGCGAGCGCCGCGGGGGGGTTTGATCAAACAGGGATCAAACGGCTTCCGAATAGATTCCACAAACGGTGACCATGTGAGCTTACCCCAGAGCAGCTATCCTTTCCCGTGGTCCTGGGGTCGCAACTCCAGTAGCTCGAAAGGAAGAGGGGCAAGTGCAACTGTTTTCTTGGAGATGATCAGAGAAGTGGAACAAGCAGTGGGCTCTCGAAAAGGTCGGACTGGTACTGCCGCGGGAGACGTTGCGTTTCCGAAAGGTAAAGAAAATCTTGCTTCAGTCTTGAAAAGGTATAAAAGGCGTCTGAGCAACAAGCCTCCTGGCGCAGCAGGGGGTGGCGGTGGCGGTGGCGGTGGCGGAGGAGGTGGCCGCAGATCCAACAATGGATTTGCCCAGGCTCTTGTTTTTGCAGCATGTCTCTAGACTTCGGTGCTGTTTCCCCCTTGCTAAAGGGGTTGTTAAATTTATGCCATGTCACTACAGCTCTGCAATGACCAAGGGTAAACATTTAAAGGCATGTGATAAATTCCCCAAGCTCCTCCCCTTGGAATTGTGCTTTAGTGACTCTAGGGAGGACTTGTGATGATCATACGAGTATACCCTCAGAATACCTGAGTGGTGGAGATTTTCCTCTTGGCATTGATGCCTTTTAGTGTTGGATAATATTATCTTCAGTAGTTTATGTCACGGGATGTTTTCCACTCTGCGCTGTTTAAAACTAGTTTGTTAAGTGGAGCAGGCTCTGATGACGTGGAGAAATTGTGAGTTGTCCCCAACAGGTTATGGGGACCTCTGATATTCCTCTAGTAGGACATATTCCTCGTAGTGTCTAATTGTAGACATTTACTGTAGACTGGTGAAAAAAGATTAATAGAAAAAAGAATGCTTTTGTTTCGAAGCAGTTCATTTCCAGATATTTATATCAAGTCAGATAAGTCGTGGATTTGTGGCCTTCTGGGGCTGACGGCTTGCATTTCAGTACACTACGTTTTCATCTGATGTCAGCTTTGTGCAATTCAGTACGAATCACTCTTTCCACCACTGTTACTCAATTTCGAGATTGGTGATGGTACTCATAGTGCCATCTCCCGATTCTCCTGCAGGATTTGTATGCTCTCACTTCCAAAGCATGTATTTGCTATGTACATCAGTTGCGTTTGACTTTTTATGAAATAAAGGTCTTGGAAGGTTACGATGACATTCTCTCCCCCAAATTCACTTATTAGTGGATCGAAATCTGTGGTATTTGTTAAGATTCAGTAAAGTTCCAACTTTTTGTGCATACTGCTGATCGAAATGTGAAACGTTTCGTCCAAGTATTCCCATCTTAGGATTAAGCCGTTGTACATTACCGAATAATACACTAGTGAACAGGGAGAAAGAGAGAGATAAGGTATTCTGGTAATCGGTGATTTGCAGGTCTTCCTGAAACACGACCTCTATGTGAAGCTATATCAATCAGGAGATTTAGAAGCTGAGGAAACTAGCGAAAGCGGGGAAGTGTGTAACCTACCCACATGTGTCAGCAGATAGTGAGGCAATGACTGCTAGTTATGAAAGAAGAAATTGAGTGGGCCACGAAGAATCGTAAAGTGATGCGTTAAGAGTGGCGGCCATATCCACAGCGTGTCGGTGACGAAGCCTTTCACGTGAGATAGCACCGCAATTTTGCCTCTCTCCCAAGCACACGTGTTTACTTCTCAGTAAAATCTCGTCTAGTCTCTCGGACCTTGCAGGAAGCTCAACAATCGAAGTGTTGTTGCAATTTTCTTTTCGTCACGCACATCACTTTGGACTTGATCACTAGAAGTCGAGAAAGATCAGAAAGAAAGTCGAGTAAGTTTTAGGGTGAGCTGATAGAGAGGGAGACAGGGTTTTGAGCGAGGAGGTTTCGCGTTACAACGTGTGAGGAGATGTCGCTCTTGACATGTGATGTGTGCGATGCACACGAGGAGCAGCTCACATCCGGCGATCTCCAAGTGCTCACTCCCGGCACTTTACAAGCCTTTGGTCAGAAACGCATATTTTCGGGGCGAGTAGTCACTGTGAAGGTCTTCGAGGACAATGTTCTGGTTCGCAGCACGCTGGAGGAGCCTGGGAATGGGAGAATCCTCGTTGTCGAAGGCGGCGGCAGCCTGAGAACCGCGCTTGTGGGAGGTAACGTTGCAAAGCTGGCCGAGACGAACGGCTGGGCGGGGCTTGTGATTTTTGGGTGCGTCCGCGATGTAGACGAGATCAACGAGTGTGCCGTTGGGGTACGAGCTCTGGCTCCCTGTCCCGTGAAGAGCAAGAAGAACGGCGTCGGCGAGAAGAACGTCGTGGTGACCTTTTTGGGTGCCACTATCCGACCCGGAGATTTCTGCTGGGTCGACAACGATGGCATCCTCGTGTCGACGTCTGTAGCTCCAAGCAATCTTTGAGGTACTTTTCCCTTCCTCTTGGGCGTTCAGGTCTTCCACAACCATTTCCTCAACCCTTAGTTTTCTCCTTTGGAAATTCCACCATCATCGTCGACTCTTTTCCTGGTTCGCATGCTGCAATCTTACACAGGTTACAACCAAAACTTGTGCCAACAACTCTCGGAGTTGCAGCAAAGGATATGCGCCCGTAGCTAAGCTAGGACTATGCTCTGGCTACGTCAGTGTGTAGCACATTTCACCTTCATCTAGAAGAAGTAGCTGAATCCATCGACACAATCGTGTGTGTGTGTGTGTGGTGTGTTCCGTGCTTGCAGCCCTTTTTATTACACTCCTTGCATCTCGCCACCGAAAAAATAAAGCTATGCGAAACTATCCATTGTGTGTGCTTTGTACCCATCTGAAGCAGTTTCGACTGCTGTGCTTGCAGCCATGGTTGAAGTCTCCCAGGGTCGATTCCATGCTTCAAACTAGAGCCTACCCAGTTCCGTTTTCATGAATTCAGTTGCTTCACTCAACACCCACTTCGGCGAATCGGACACATCTACGCTTGGGCCTCGACTCCGAAGAGAATTCTGAGCGATCCCTCGCAGTGTTTCGTGCATGGTAGAATCCACATGCGGCGTAGAATCCAAGGTGGGCACCATTCAAAAAGTGCCATTTCCTGCACTCGTCTTGGAAATGGATTTGAGGAAATCATCTGTAAAGGATCCATGTGATAAATTTTCATTTTCAGGGATTGGGCCTTACATGATTTTGTGTTATGTTGTTTCAACTGTTTTTGTTGTTGTTGATGTCTTTTGTTCAACTGTTTTCAGTTTTCAGTTCTTATTTATTTTATTTTATTTTTCTTTTCTGCAGTTGAAGATCTAAAAGCAGCCAGTGTCTGGATCATTGTGGACTGATGTTACATGACATAATTTTGCTTTCAACATAAGGAATGAATCAGAAAAGTTTTTATTTTGGAGTCTTCACTTTCTTTTTTTTTTTTTTTTTCTTTTTTTAGTACTTTTTTCCTTGGGGAACTGTTACATGGAAGACTAATTTAATAGAAAGAGGCAACAGAGATGAATTGGACAAAGAATGAGCTAAATTTGAATGGATGTGGTTGAATGAATTATCAAAGAATTGAAAGGTGAATAACAATACCAAATTAAAGTATGTTTAGGAGGCATCTTCTAAATCTACTACAAGAAAATATATAAATAAATAAGTGTTTATTGTAGTAAGGATGTTGTATTTTGTAGAAAGTGTTTTTTTAATAAAATTTTCTTATAATGTAGGCAGGTGGAGAGGAGAGTGGAAAAAAGTAATTAATTGACTAATGATATATACATATATAATAAGATATGAGCTATTTGGGATGATTTTTCATGCCTTGGATTGTCTTATGGTATTTGGATAAGGCATTAGAATTTTATTTTATCTTTTGTTGGGATTTTTGTTCATAGTTAGATTATATGATTTTGTTACATGCAATGATGGTAGAAGGAAGAGGTAAGGACACAAGAACAAAGAAATGAAAAAATCTAAGAATTACAAGATTTTAATTTCAAACCAAGACTAGATACAAAACTAAAAAGAAATGAATACTTGAATTGTTCCAACACTTGTTTTGAGAATTTTGAAGTATCTTTTATCTTATTCCATTATATATATCAAGGCAACTAATTTTTATTTTATTTTATTTTATTTTGTTTTGTTTTTTCAATTGAAATACTTTCATTACATTAATTAAGAAATAAAAGTAAAAAATAATCTAGATTCTAATACCTTTTTGGAGCAAACATAGAAGTGTCATGAATAATATAATATTATCTAATTCTACATGTCTAGTTTTTATTTGTCTTATAAATGATGAGATTGCACCAAAAAAAAAAAAAAAAAAAAAAAAAAACTTTATTGTTCTAATAAATTTGTGTCTCTTTTTTAGAACTTAATATTTATTTTTTTAGCCAATTCTTATCTTATCTTTTTATTAGAAGTTTTATTTGGATTGATAGCTTATATATATATATATATATATATATATATATATATATATTGCATGTGATCTATCATATTAAGTGTCTATATTCCTAAAGATTAGACCAAATAATTTGTCCTACTTTGTTGTCACCTACATTTGGCTATTATATGTACTTGAAGTCTTCTGAGCTAGCAACAAAGATATCTTTCCTTTAAAATGCAAAGTTCTTCGTTGAGTTATCACTTGATAACTAGAATTTTAAAAGGCCTATAAAGTATAAATCATTTATTTTTCACATTGCCATATTTTAGGCTTGGAGTTGAAAAACCAAGATTAGGTTGAAATTTACTACTAATTTTTATATCTTTATCTAATATTTTTGTTTTAGAGATCAAGAATATTTTGATTTTCACTTTTATTTTTTGTTATTTTGTATAATTATAACATTGGAATAACAAAAGCCAATGTATCAGCCTTGGATATTGAGTTGGTTTAGTAAACATGAGCTTCAAGCCCTTATGATTCACTTGAAATATGAAAGTATCACCTAGTAGATGTTTTCTAAATTTTTGGACTACATGAATCATTTTCAAGCATATTCTCTAGATTGTAGAATAATTCTTTTATGCAAGACCAAGTTGTTGAGATGTATAACATACAAAATGATCTCAGTTATTATTATCTAAGTGAAACAAGACTAGATAAGTTGCTACATTTGATATATCTAGAAACATGTGGAACTTGCAATCCAAGTGTGGTGGCCATAAAATTGGTGCCAATACTAGCTTTTACAAGAGATGCAAAAAGATCTTGATATGTTGTTGTCAATACAAATTTTGCATGGTTATTCAATAATTGGATGAAGAGATGAAACAATGTTGTATATTTGTCTATGAACCTCCTACAATAGTCACTATAGCCAAAAAAATTGCAAAGCTTCTTGACTATTATACATGGTAGCATTTTTGCAATTGCCTTAACCTTTTGTAGTTGGACCTTGATACGATTGTGACTAATGATTATATTCCATTCAAAGTCTAGCTACAACTTTGTTTGGACTTGTTGTACCATTTTTATTAGTTTTTTCTTAAAAGGATTTTGGATGTTTGATTTATCCAAGTATGATTCTTTTATCACTTATTTTTATAAAAATAAAGTCACATTTTTTTCTAATATTGTATTTTATAACCATAGCTTAAGAACACATTATGTACCTAGTAACAAAAGAAATTATCTAAAGCATTTTGAATCCAAAATATATAATTTTTTAAAGAATTCTTTCTTAAAAACAATAATTTTCTTAGATATTCCAAATCCAAGCAATGCTAAATTCTATCAATCCTAAAATTCAATCCATATTAATCTTATTAAAACCTAAAAGGTATTCAAAGAAATTTCTAAAAAATTCTAAAAAAATCTTAACAAATTCCAATAACTGTATAAAAAAACATTAAAACTTTTCAAAAAAAAATCTTAAAAAATCTCTTAAAGTATATATATATATATATATATATATATAAAAATTCCAAGAAAATTAAAAAAAATTGTTAAAATTCTAAATAAACCTTAAATAAATTATAAATAAGTTTTAACAAAGCTTATAAATTTTTTAAATAAATATTATTAAATTTTAAATAAATTGGATAAAATAATATTTTTTTTAATTAAAAAATCCTATAAAAATCCTAAAAATTCTAAGATAATTCTAGATTTTAAGTTCCATGAGCTATGACTCTTGATTTTAGTTTTAGATCAACTTCAAATTTCTTGTGCTATTAGATGTATTATTGCTGAACAATATTCTTAAGATTTATATGCAACTAAAAAAGTAGAATATAATATTAATAATCCTCTATTGATGATACTTTGTTTCTAAAAATGAGATTGAAAACGAATTCACATATCAATATCTTAAAAGTTAGTCTTTGATTTTTTTTCTTTTGTATTTTTATTTTTATTTTTATTTTTGTGCACCTTCAATGATGTATCTTTTGTCAATGTTTTTAAACTATCTCTTCAACTTATTTTTTTTAACTTTTGACAACTAAGAATAAGTGGATAATCTTAATTTGACTTTTTCAAACATCTCTTTATATATGAAAATCAACACTTTGCAACTAAACTATTAAAACCAAACTAAAATTAAGAAAAAAGCTATTCTTTTCATATACAAGTACACTTAGATCAATCTTAAAAATTTTGAATCTCTAATCAAATTTCACAATAAATTTTATTGTCTTTTAAATTATAATTATTAAAAACTTTGTTTTTTCTTCTTGCATAAATGACCCTCCCCACATCAAAAATTTACAAATATTATATTTTTAAAAAGCCTTCAAAACTCTTTTTCTATAACTTCACAATCCAATCTTAATAAAAATCCTCCCTTTCTTGTAGATGTGTGTTTTTATACTTTGGAATTGATTTCAACCATATCTCATAAAATATCAATTTAATCTTCTTTATGTTCATATTTATTAAAAAAAATACTTTAATAATATTCTAAAAGTAATTGTATCAATTTTATATCTATCATATTTTTTTTTTGATCTAAAAAAATTGATAGAAGACTAATTTATTTTTATTCTTTAAAATTATATCAAAATTAAAATTTATTTCAATATAATACTATAATTTTTGATAAATTTTGTATTAATCATTTAATAAAGATCTTTTAAATTATTAAATTTTTATCTAATTTATTATCTAATAGTTATATTACAATACCTCATTAAGTAATTTAGTGTCAAATATATATTTTTTTAAGACATGCAACAAATTTCTTATAGAACCTTAACTTGAATGAGTTATTGTATGTTACTCCATATGAAGCTTGAAATAAATTCTTTGGATTTACACATCGTTTTCAAAGAATCTATCAAGATAGAATTTAAGAATAAAATGTTTTAAAAAATAAAAATAAAAAACAAAAACAAAAACATTGTTAATTACAATGGTTCTATCTACCACATTGATTCTAATAAAAAAATCAAGAGTCTTCTTTCTTTTGTGGTTAATTTATCAAGAATTTATCTAAAAATTTAATATGAATAAGAAAAAAAAATAAAATGTTCTAATATTTGATTTTTTTTAGTTTTTTTTCCATGCCCAATCAAATCAATTAGCTTAGTAGATCTTGATTCTTTCTTGTATTTTTAAAATGTAGTGGATTATAACTAGTTATTTGAAAACTAGAAGTTTGGTTTAACTTTTGTAACATATATAACAAACTAAATTATAATGATTGATCTTTATATATAGTTATTATTATAGTCATTATAAAATTAATTTTATATTAATTTTTATTTGTTATTCGGTAAGAAGATTATTTTTAATTATTTAGTTTTAAAGCTATTTTTGTTGCTAGATTAAATATATTTTTTAAAAATAAAATCATAGTGATAAAAAATATTTTTTTATTACTTTTCTTTTATAGAAATTTTTTAGTTTAGATTTCATTAATTATAATTGTATTCAAGACATAAATCTTTAAAAAATTCTAAAAAAGCAATATATTTTTGTGACACTTAAAAAGAAAGAGTATATAATTAAAAATAATTACATGATAGAAACTAGGCTATTGCAAAATACAAATAAATCAAAGATACCTGAACTAATACAAAAACACAATAAAAGCATTGATCTCAGTTAAAAAATACCTTATTCTTGTCTCCACATATATTATCTAATTAAAGAGCTATAAGACAATGTTCTATAGATTATTTGATAGATGTTCAACATGGAGTACATGTATCTAATTTGCAAAGCAAGTTTCTTGCA